TCCCTCCCTCCCTCCCTCCCTCCCTCCCTCCCTCCCTCCCTCCCTCCCTCCCCTCCCCTCCCCTCCCCTCCCCTCCCCTCCCTCCCTCCCTCCTCCCCCTCCACCTCCCCCTCCTCCTCCTGTTCCCCCACCTCTCTCTCTTCCTCTCTCCTTCCTACTCCCATACCCGCTCCCACTGTCTATCCATTCCTTCCACACTCCTCCTGATTTCCTTGTCCTTCTTATCTTGACTTGATTGTCTGACTTGTGTATGTGCCGCATCAGGCGCCGCCTGATCCTGCTCCTATCGAGCAAGGAGGTACAGCAGACGCTACATGGCACAGCACACGGGCTGCTGTCGGCTTTCTTTGCGGCGAAACGATACGACGAGGAGCACAGGAAGGAAGGAGGACAGGACCTGATACATGCGGTGCTGGACAAGCTCATGAGCGAGGAGGGAAGAGAATACTCGGTCGCTGTCCTCCGCGTGCTGTCCCGGGATGTCCTGATGGCGTACCTTTCCTCCGAGAAGGGGGGGAGGGAGGGAGGGGATCGCGTCGCTAGTCTCTTACAGTTGGAGAGGCAGTGCTTTGCGGCGAGGGAGAAGGAGGAGGAGCAGGATGGGGGAGGGAGGGCAAGGGGGGAGCTGGAGGGAGGGGAGATAACCCTTGATCTTCTCTCTGCTGCAGGCAGAGCAAGGGCTGATGATTCTCCGCTATCCCGGGCGCGGGAGGAGATCGTGAGAGAGGACGCGATGGGTATGCGGCCAGGCAGCGCCGGTGCTCATCGCTCGGGGGAGTGGATGCAGCAGGAGCCCAGCAGGAGGCCGAGGGGAGACGACATGGCAGGGCTGGAGCTAGTGCTCGAGAAGCTGCTGTCACCTCGAGGACAAGAGTTCGTCTCCTCCACCCTCGAGCGGGTCATCTCGTCCTCGTCCAAGGAGATGCTGCCGATGATCCTGGACCGAGTGATTGCAGAGGGAGGAGGAGGAGGCGAAGGACGAGCGACAGCGTTGGAGACTGTCCTCCTCTGGATCTCAGATGAGCAGGCGGGACCAGCAGCGAGGAAGCTGATTCAAGAGGTCATGCGGGACTCGAGCAGGTCAGCTGGGGAGGTTCTCCTGCAGCTGTGGAGCAGCAAGCAAGGAGGGGCGAAGAGCCGGAGCCGAGGTGGGAGGGCGAGGATGGCGGACATGAGCCTTGAGGAAGCCAAATCTCCTCCCTCCTTCACCCTAGAGCACTCTGCGCTCGACGAGCATCATCTCAACGACGTGACGGAACAGAACCCATCCCTGCTCTCCTCCAAGTCTCCTCCAGCTGAAGATCCGGATGCCTCGGAGCTCTCCTCAAGCTCTCAGTCTGACGGGACTCTCCAGCTCATTATAAGGTCAGGACATCCCTCTCCATGCACTTCCTTGTCCTCCTCCTCTCCCCCCTCTCCCTCCTCTCCCCCATCCTCCCTCACGATCACTTCGCCATAGTTGATTCCCTTGTCGTTCTCACCAACACTTCCTCTTCCACTTCCCGTCTCCCTCCTCCTGCCCCCACGTCACTCTGGCACACCTGCAGGTTGGCTGAGAACTCTCAAGTGCGTTCCCTTGTCCGTGAGCTTGCCGTCTCTGTCACTCGTGAGGGGTCCCTCCTCCTCTTCCAGCTCGTGGCCGACCGACTGCCCTCCCTTCCTTCCTACAGCTTATCCTTGACCAACGTGCGGTGGTATGACTTTTGACCTCCTCCTCCACCTCCTCCTCTCCTCCCTCCCTCTCGTTCTTCTCTGCCTTACTCCCCTATTTCCTCCCACTATTACCTTCCGCTTCTGCTTGATCTCTCCTCCACATTAGCATCGTTTCTCCCTCGCATCCTCTCACGCTTGCAGCAGGACAGCAGCTCCTACCGCCTCCATCATCCTCTGCGTCTCGCTGCTGGTGCTCCCTTCCTCCCTGCGCGACTGCACGTGACTGCTTGCAGGTCAACTGGCAAGACGCAACGCAGGCACTCGTGAATGCTCTACTCCTCGTCTCGACCTTCATGTTTGCTTACATGCTATCGAGAACGAGCTTTTCCGCTCACTAGGACGCAGAGAGGGGTGGGAGGAGGAAGAGCAGGCAGACGGGGAGAAGGTGGGAATGGGTGTAAATGTATGAAGATGTGTGTAACGATTTCAGACTAAACAACGCTCGAACGGCACTCACGTCAAGTTTTTCAGCTTCTTGTATTCTCTCAACTGCTATCCCCTTACACCTTAAACCCGCAGCTTCCTCTGCGTCCACGTGCGCTCTCGAACTTGCGGCTCTTCTCAGAGTTGCGCGTGTAGGGCTTGGTGGAGCTGTGGGGCACACCAGGAGCCTTGCCGAAGTGCTTGTAGACCTCACGGGCCTTGAGGGGTCCACGGAGGAGGACGCAGTTGGAGCCGGTGGGGGCGCGGAGGGCGAGCTGGTCGAAGGTGATGACCTCTCCTCCAGCGGCGGTGATGCGAGCACGGGCCCTGTCGGTGATACGGAGGCAGCAGACGGTGAGCTTGAGGTCGTTGTCCTGGAAGAAACGGATGTCGTCGGTGATGGTTCCGACCACCACAGCAACCTTGCCCTGCTTGCCCTTCATGAACTTGGCGAGCCGGGAAACGGAGAGGGGAGGACGGTTGGCGCGGCTCATGAAGAGGCGCTTCAAGATGACAGCGTTGAACTTTGACTCGGTCCTGCGAGCGAGGAACCGGTAGAGCTGCAGGATACTTTCAGCGAGCGTATTGAGGAGGAGCAGCAGGAGGAGGAGACGGTCGAGGGGACAGCATCATCGTCAAGACGACAGAGAATTACAACGGATCGCAAGTGAGCGAGAACAGGCAGAGGTGAAGATGGAGTAGGTGAGAAGAAAATATGGCTCAACTACTATCAACTGATCTAGAGAGCACAATGAAAAGTATACAGCGACAACAGGGAGGTCTCAGGTAAGCGCTGGGGAGCCAACAGTCAAGTACCTTAACAAGCAGCTTGATGTACACATTCTCGGACTTAGGCTCCTTCCTGAACCTGGTCTTGGCCTTACCCGCAGACTGAATACCCTTGTCGAAACCCTGAAGACGCAGGAGAGTCAGAAGAATGATAAAGAGTCTTTCACGCAACCCAGCCGGCAGAGCATTTCACAGGTAAACCCAACACACGTACACAACACACGTGGGAAGTACACGTCAAAGACCACACTCATAGATTTCTAATCCGTCCATCACAAGAAATAGACTTCTCGCCCGCATCACTTCATACGTTATTCACTTCCAACATGCCAACTCGAAAGACACGTGGGTGATACATTCCCATTTACATGCCACAAGAGCACCAATCACAACTCCCCGCATCATAGCATTCCAATCAAACGTCTTCGCAGAGTTTCACAGGCATCAGGACCCCAGTGCAGTCACAGCAGCATAGAAGACACCACATGATCGACAACCACAGCAACTTGTGCAGCAGCATCACCATCCCGAACTTCCAGTGATCCATCACACAAACTTCCTCGCATCTTCTTCATGACATCATCGCTTCTCTCATGCGCGCATGCCCCCATCCTCTCCTCGCCCCCTCCTCCTCCTCATCGTCCATCTTCGCACGCGCTCACCATGGCTCCCGCTACCTTCGCACGCGCGTCTCGTTTTTTTTTTAACCTCCCTTTGGCCGTTACAGACCGTTGCAATTGTTTTACCAGAGGCGGGCCCGGATTGTTGGGTTTCCGGGCGGTGCAAACGGGCCGACCCCCCAGGCCCGGTGACTTTGGAAAAGAACAGCCCGGGGTGCTTGAAGTATCACCCCTGGATTTCCCAGGGAATAATGCTGTATTGCCAGGGTGGGTGGTTTTAAAATGGCATGAAGGGTTTGTTTTTTTTGGTCGGATCAAAATCTGTACGAAGATTTGAATTCTAGTACAACATCGACAAAGTCCTTGGTACATAAATTTCACACATCCGTATGATTGATACTATGATAAATAAAGTTATATATATATTAAAATACTTATTGAAAATATATATATCATGTTTTATCCGATTGTAGAATTGTTGAGTAATTCTTATCCAAAAAGATGGAAACCTATAGGGTGGGGTACTGGGGTAATGGGGGTGCATCATAACTTTGGGAGTTCCTGATCAACAGCCAGGGTGGGTACTTTGCAGTAAAAAGAAGGGGTATATTTGAACACTGCTCGAAGACATGCAGGGTTGGTTGTAGGAGGAAAGGAGGTGGGGTGGAGGGTGGAGCAACGGTCTTGGTATCAGGGGGTCCAAAGCATTTATAATGTCAGGGGTGGTGAGTACACGGGTGCATTCGATCAGTACCCAGACAACATTTAACTTCTGGTCAGAACCAGGGGTTAGTGGTGAATTAATGAAATATTTGGGGGTGGGGTAGTGACCCCTACCTAGCGATTTAACAAATGATTATGGACCCCACCCCCAATAAGATGTGGCTGCCGCGCAGCACCTGAAATGTCCGAAGGGGAAAAGGAAAGAGGGAGAGGAGGGGGGAGATGAAGAAGAAGAACGCGATGAGATGATAAGATGAACGTGAAGTCAAGAGAATTTAACAGCTTGAGCAGAGCAGAGCAGAGCAGAATTGATGTCACCATGCTGTCCAAAAGATGAAGCCAGCAGCGACAAACAGCAAGAAATGCCATGTTACGGCAGAGCTGATAGGGGCAGGGCAGGACAAGCCTGATACGACAATATAACAAGACACAGATGGGAGAAGAGAAAGATTTTGAATTGAATGTAGATTGAAGTGAGGGAGAAGAGCAAGAATGTACGAATGTTCAAGAGATCTTCATCCCTGAGGGCGATAGTGAACAAAGGTTGGTCTGTAGTGAGCATGGGATTTTTCAAGTCGGAAAATCTTCTCAACTGAAAATTTTCCACAAGATATTGCATGCTTTATATTTGTTCTGAGTTGTCATGGAAGCAGGTTGCAACCACGAAAGACGTTGATTTGAAGGAGCGGCGATCAGGATGAGCTTGTGGCAACAAGGATAGACATCAACAGCCAGGAGAGCACTTTCTCCCACCATGAACTCCCGCATGAACTCGTCGAACCCGATCTATCAGTACCGGAACATGCCCAAGACGTCTTCTTACCAGATGTTTGTTAAGGCCATGACATCGGATATGAAGGCAAGGAACCCGGACAGTAAGCAGGCAGACAACATGCGGAAGATTGGTGAGCTGTGGAGGAGCATGCCTCAGGAGGAGCGAGACAGATACACCCCGGCTGCGAACTCCTCCTTCGACCTGGGTCCTCCAGGAGGATATGGCTACACCCAGAATCCAATCTGGAGCGCTCAGCCCCCTGGCTTCGGGGTGGATCCTTTGAGTCAGAGGAAGCGGAAGAGGAGGGACAGGGGGTCAGTGCAGTACCTGGAAGGTGTTCCTAGGATGCTGTCTCCTTACAACCTCTTCGTAAAGGCTGTCCTCCAACAGCTCAGGCTGCAGCACCCGGAGCTAGATCAGGGAGATCTGATCAAGAAGGTAGGAGAGCTATGGAGGTCCATGTCAGCTGAAGACAAGGCGAAATGGAGGGCAGACGGGGAGGAAGGTTCGAGGATTCCAGGCGCCATCTCTTTCGTTTCACATAGGAATGTTGTCAAACCCTCCTCGTACCAGATGTTTGTCAAGGCGATGACGGCTGAGTTCAAGAACAGGGAACCGGACAGCAAGCAAGCGGACAACATGAGGAAGATCGGGGAACTCTGGAGGCAGATGCCGCAAGAAGAACGAGAGAGGTTTGCTCCAACACCACAGCAAGTACATGATATGCAGATCAAGGCTGGATCCCGGGCTGCTTCGGGATCTATGAACCCTGTATTCAGCAATGGCGGCCTCATACCCATGTCAGGCAGGCAAGGGAGGTTCTTCAGACCAGGAGGGATCCAGCGCACATTGTCAGCATACAATCTGTTTGTCAGGTCCATGCACGCGCAGCTGAAGGCTGAGCATCCTGACCTCGATCAGGGTGAGTACATGAAGAGAGTCGGGGAGATGTGGAGGTCGATGCCGGCAGATGAACGGGCCAAGTGGAGGGCGGACGGAGAGGAGGGATCAAGGGTTCCAGGTGCTAGTACATTCATAGCACACAAAGCTTCATCTAAACAGTCTCCGTATCAAATGTTCGTCAAGGCCATGACTTCGCAAATGAAGGCAAACAATCCGAGCAGCTCGCAGATAGAAAACATGAAGCAGATCGGAGAGATGTGGAGAAACATGTCAGCTGAAGAGCGACAAAAGTATGCAGTGATTCCCGAACCAAGTCACAACACGCTTGATAATTATGGTCTAAACGCGGATGGGATGGCAATGGACAAACGACGAAAAGCTCTGATGGACTTTCAAGCGATGCCGAGGTCAATGTCGGCCTACAACTTGTTCATAAGATCTATGCTCATGCAGCTCAAAGCGCAGTATCCTGAGGTTGATCAAGGGCAACACATGAAGAAAGCTGGTGAGATTTGGCGGAACATGTCCGCCGAAGAACGAGCAAAGTGGAGGGCAGATGGGGAAGAGGGGTCCCGGGTTCCTGGAGCCAACTCGTTTGTTCCCCCCAAGGCCATGATCAAACCTTCTTCATACCAGATGTTCGTGCGAGCCATGACGGCCGATCTCAAGACGCGGAATCCGGATGCGAAACAAGCAGACAACATGCGGAAGATCGGCGAGATGTGGAGGCAGATGACGCAGGAGGACCGAGATAGATACAATCCCACAGATGCCCAAGTGCTTGAGATGCAGTCGAGGACTGTGCGGGACATTCATCAAAACTCGGGATATGCGTTCGGAAGACACGTTCGTCCTTTGTTCTGCCTGCTACTCCTCCTTACTTGATGACTCCAGGGCCCCATCGCGGGGACTCATCGAACTTTGTCGGCCTACAATCTGTTTGTTCGCTCCATGCACGCGAGGCTCAAGATGAACTCTGCAGAAATGGAGCAGGTAGAGAGAGAGGGAGGGAGAGGGAGAGGGAGAGGGAGAGGGAGGGAGGGAGGAAGAGTGCAATGCACCATATTGGTGAAATGCGCTGTTTTGAACGATTGCTGAATGTTGCATCTGACGTGAATGTGCAATGGAGAATGAACATCGACTTGCTGTTTGGTCGGTGACAGTAGTGGTGTTTTCCAACAGGGGGATCACATGAAGAGGGTTGGAGAAATGTGGCGCTCTATGACCAATGAGGAGAAATCGAAGTGGAGGTATGACGGAGAAGAGGGCTCCAAGGTCCCTGGAGCCAGTACCTTCGTGACTCACAAGAACATCACGAGGTATCGAGCCCTGAGTGTTGTTGCCAGTCTGTGAAGAGTCTTGCAGGCCGTCGGCGTACCAGATGTTTGTCAAGGCGATGACGGCTGAGTTCAAGATCCGTGAGCCGGACAGCAAGCAAGCGGACAACATGAGGAAGATCGGGGAACTCTGGCGGCAGATGTCTGAAGAGGAGAAGGCCAAGTGGCTTGTGGATGGTGAGGCTGAACCAGCAGGTGATGATGTCAGTGCAAGGGTGCGGGTAACTGATCCCTTGCCTGCAGGCCATGCCTTCAACATCTCTAGGAAATCTGCGAAACGACGAGCCGTCCAGTCGAGCGGTGACATGTGAAAGTCCTCCTAACACCAGCCTCACACTTGTTCAGCCTCATTCCATCCTGTCGCTCATGCAGGCGCTTCTATTCAATCACTCAGCGCTGGCTTCCCCAGCAGCTATCCTACCAACTCCTCCGGTGAGCTTGACGGATTGTTTCCTCTTACCTGACTGTCTCGGGAGGCTTCGAGCACCTGCACCTCGGAGGAAGCTCTCAGCTCCTGTCGGGATCGTCACAGTTTGCTACTGCCCCCAACTACGCCACCTCTCACTTTGTGCAAGGAGGCTATGGACAGGTTTGACTCACCGGCGTTTGCTCATTGTTTGACTCAAGATGGCAGACTGGCTTCTACGGCAGCAGCTTCTCGCATGCTGACTACGTGCCTCCCACAGCTACGCTGGGTCAAGTGCCGGCACAGATGAGATTCGGCTATCCGCGATAACCAGGAGGCACATATCGCGAGGACAGGAAGAGTCAGCTCCACGTGTAGGGGGGTCGAGAGGGAGGGGGGAGAGGAAGCGTTTCTTGCTGCATGGCAGGGTGAGGCACTTTGATGAGGGTTGGGCGCGATGAAACGCGTGTATTATGAGTCGTTCCAATTGAACGAGCTTTCCTAGCGGAACCGATAGATTAACATAAGCTAGTTAACGCCTAAATGAAACAGAAACTGAAACATAGTTGGTCAACACAAGATCGCAACAGCACGCTGTGATACTATGTACAGGTGATAAGAACACTCCTCCTCGTCCTCGTCGTCTCTCTCCATAAACCATCGCATGAAGTGAGGAGAGATTGTGATTGCTTCATGGATGTCTGAGTGATGACAACTGGAGAGTTGGTGGGGGTCTGACAGCTTGCTGACGTAACTCGAACTTGAAGGTGTAGAGGAAGCGTCGTCCAGCTCCCGCAACCCTCCAGCTGACGCGTCCTCCTGCTCTATCAGCGCCTCCTTCTGCTCTACCAGCATCGCGTCGGAGCTTCGCTCTTCCTCCCCGCCTTCTTCCACGCTCTGACCTTCCGCATCCCGCACAGCAGCTCCGGAGAGAGGAGTGCTGCCTCTTCGAGAAGGATCTGACGGGTTGTACGGCCACTTGTTGATGCCAAGTCGCCTCGCCGCGTTCCTCAGGGCCGTGACGGAAATGCCCTGGATCCGTCCAGTCAGGTCGCGATGCACAGCAAGGGAGCCGGGGGTCACCAGGATCTTGGAGGCTTCGTCCTGCCGGAGGTGTTGGAGACGCAAGATGTCTTCTCGCTGCAGTACGAGCTTGCTGCTCCTGCTCGTCTCTCCTTGTTTCTTCCTCGGGTAGATGCTCAAGAAGCGCTCCGACATCTGAGAGTTCCTGCCATCACAGTCAGTCGCCCCTCCCCCTCCCATGTTACCATCTTGTTGGTCCTTGGCAACTCAGAACGCGGCTCTCCTGCAACCCCCTCCTCGTATGCTCACCCCTGGCCTCCATTGCTTGAGATCCCTTCCTCCTGTCTTGGCTCTCCCGCTCTTCGCTCGTCCATCTTTCTGCTCGTCTCCTACCGCCTCCTTCTCCCTCTCCTCCGCCCTAGCACTCTCTTGTAGCACTTCGCCTCCTTTCCACTATTCCCAATGGTCATCGAGAATAAATTCTCTTTTTTATTTCAGATTCGAAAAAGAGTCCTTTCGCATCGAAAGCCAGCATGACCGCTGTAAGCCTCACCCAAGAGGTCGGGAAGATATCCAAAGGTACCGCGATCGATAACCCGCGGGGGTCATAATTCAGCGAAACGATCCCTTTGAGGGGCCGTTGGGACGCGAGTTCCTTGTAAGCTTGCCCTGTGGTAACGCTGAAGCTGTAAGGGAGTGAGGGGGACGACGAATCTCGTCAGACCTCTTAGCCATGGCTGCTCCTCAGTATCGTGACCATCGCCTGCTCTACGTTCTTCTCACGTATCATCCAACAATACCTGTTACCTCAGTGATAGCCTGCCGTACATGTTTGTTTGCTCTACTTACTCCCTCCATCTCTCCCTCCCTCGCTGACACTCTCTTCTTCATGTTTCCTCGCTTCTCTCCCCTCTCTCT